GCAGCTTATACAAAAAGCAGAGTCCACGAACAAAAGCTTTTTGTTCGTGGAAAATGAAATGCGATATTTTTCGAAAGAGAGAAAAACATATTTATATCAATTCAGTAGAAATGCTGCGCAAAATTGGTTTATTTCTTTTATTGTGTGTTTTTAAATTAAGAACAGAAATTGATCTTTGTCGTTTGTTTATAAAGCTTAGAAGAAATAATTTCTCTTTATAAGCTGAATTCCTCTTCCTTGAACGTAAAGAATAGGAGTTATTTTTCAACGCAAGTTAACTCAAAAGTTTTTGCTCCGTTGCGATTCAAAAGGCAGAGAGAGAAAACTCAAAGACGCAGCTGGCGAAACTTGGCCGAACCATGCAATTAAATGTTTCCAGCGAAATTTTAAGTGAAACGTATAATAATGTCGTGCGAGCTTCAAAGAAAGACAAGCCGGCGCGCACACACACGAGTTTTAAGAACAACTTCATGGTTAAATTATATGTGCTTAAGCGGCACACAATGGAGCATTGTTTCGCCGAGGGCTTTGAATGGCCAGACTTTGTTTGAATTAAAACGGCGGCGTGGAAAATAATAGGGGGTAAAAACAAAATGGAATTGCGTCTGACATGAGTAGGTGGAAAATGAAGGTAAAATCACCAAAGAATATTATATAAAAATACAAACACTGGAATTTCGGAGAAGCTGAACAATGGAACGAGTTCTTTGCTCTTTTATTCGTCTTTATTTCTTTTTGTTATGACTCTTATTGTTTGATAAAAAATAATTGTTGAAATTTGATGAAAATATACAATTTTTGGAATCATTAAATTAGATTAATTAGTACTTTTTAAGGGATCGAGTGAAAATCATTGCCAGCAAAAATAATAATAATTGAATGTCCAGGATTTTAAGACAATCACAATACAATTTTTCAGGTACAAGATTTTCATTTTAATCACTTTAAAATCTCCAATTTTCTTTACAGGTTGATTTCCATCAAATATTGCAAATTGCATTTCATCCCACTTAATCAAGCTTTTAATGGCAAAATGCATTCAAAACGTAAAGAAAATGTCACATTATAAAAAAAACTTGACTACAATTCCAAATAAGTCAATAAATATTAATACATAAATAAATCAATTTATTTACAAATAAATAAATAATAGCAATAAAAATAATTGTAATTTAAATCTATTATATACAATCTAAAGAAGGAGAATATATTAATAGTTTTGCTAAAGCACATTGCATAATTATTCCTCCTACATTATTTTATCATTTTGTTTGCTATACTATACTTGGAATTACAATAATAATTAAGTCCTTCTATTTAATCTTTTCTTTGATGTGCAGTCTAGTTTCTTTTATGTAATTATTCTTCAATCTCATACAAATTGTACAAGCGCTACTCTTTCATATTCTCATTTTCATCAAAGCATTTATAAGGATATTCTTCATAATTAATTTTAAAAAAAACAAGCAAAGAGAAACAATTTTATCGATCGCGCTCTTTCCCCAAACAAATTTCAAATCAGAGAACGTGTGCTTGGAAGCAAAAACAAAGTCGCTTTTTATCTCGGTAGAGCCATATTGCAACACATGTCAGCTGCAGGGGCAACTTGGGTCACCGGGGTCAGCCACCGATGGCAACTTGAGCGGCACATAAAAAAGCGATGAAAATATGTATATATGCAGCGCGCGGCGGTGACGGCGAGAAGAAAGGGGTAGTTATAAGCTGTTGCACGCCTGATTATGATGAAAAAGGTAGCGAGGCCGTTGTAACGCAATTATAAAAGCGGCGCGCGCGATGATGAAAGCAAGCAAGCAAGCGAGCGAGCGAGCGAGCAAGAGAGAGCGAAGCATTCATACTTGGAGGGAGCGAGAGGCGCTCCTCTGTGTACACGCCGCCTCTCGAAATTGCTTTAGGTGCTGTTGTAAAACAGTAAACACCCAACCGACTGCCTCTTTGCGACAAAGTTTATCAAGCGGGCAGCTCCACCGATGGAGGCTTATGCAAATGAAAGCAATTTGCATCAGGCGGAGAATAATCCCTTAAATATAAACCTATAGCGCGTGCGTTTGCTCTCTCTGGCTGGCTGGAATGGCAGACCCGAACGAAAAAGGGCGAAAAACACGTTGCAAATAACGCCCCTGCTGCGTGCGTTAATATATTGCCGCCGACTGGCTTCTCGACAAAAAACGTTTCATTTAAACGTTCGGGCGTTTTCTTCTGCCCACACTCTGGCCCTTTTTGCCCGGGCAAGAAATTAAGTGTGTGTTTATACCTATGGACGGAAAACCCACCTATATCGCCGTTTCAGTCGTGTTTGCTTGTTTGTTTTTGCGTTTGTTGGTTTGCCGCTATATTTATTTATGCAGCAAGCGAGACGGACCTGTTCACCGGGTTGCATACCTCGGCTCGTGGCAGGGGATCCAATTATGTTCAACAAGAGCGGCCGTTCTTTCTTTATTCTACCTTGGCTTCTCCGTCGCCGGCTGCACTTATAAAGCAAGTCTTTAATTACAAAGCGAAAATTAAAAGCGTTCTTTGTGAAGGCGATTGTTTGAGAGAGAGTGCCGCGCGCCGAGTGAGTTTTTGCCCGAGCGAGATTTTGAAACCTGTGCATCGCGCCGAGTGAGGAAGTTTACCTTTGTGTTGGCAGGTGGCATAAAGAAATATCAAAGGGGTTTTGACGGCGAGTGAAACCGGCTCTGAACGACAGCACTGACGACCGGCGATGGAAATGTGTGTTTGATCAAGCGCAATACGTGCTGTGTCAAACATGGCCTCACTTTTGCTGGAAACTGTCAGAGCGAGTTTGAAGCCCAAAAGTGCTTTTTAACGAGCAGACGGAATTGAAAATGGTGAATTTTTATTCGAAACGGGGATCTTTTCATACATTTTTTCATCAAAGATATTTTTCATATCTCAAATTGAAAACGTGCTGTAATTTTCCCTATATAATTATACAAATTTCACTATGTTATGAATTTTATTGAATGAAATGAAAGTATTTATTGTACACCACCAATCAAGAAATGATTTTTATTGCAAGTTGATTAGTTTTATTATCCAGTAAGGCACATATTTGGTTTGTTGTTGCTTCTTTTGTGGTTGTTGGAAAAGATTCAATTTCGAGTTTGTTCAGAGTCAATTGATATTTTGCAGTTATATTGATCCAGTGCCTTTCTCAGCATTTCTTGAGATGATTCCGGACTACCATTACCAGTAATGCATATTTGGTCTGTGTGTAATTTGATCACAAAGGTCCCTCCCCAAAAAATTTGAATTCTTATTTTTGAAAATTGTGCTACAAACGAATGCTCTCCATTAAGTTACCGGTTTCTAAGGTCCATAACTTTGCTTCTTCCTTGGTCACAAGGCGTCGTGTTAAAAAAAAAAATATTTAAATATTATATTATTATTATAATTATTATTATTAGTATTATTATTAGTATTATTATTATTATTATTATTATTATTATTATTATTATTATTATTATTATTATTATTATTATTATTATTATTATAAAGACCTTTGCTTTTTGTGTGGTCGTTGGAAAAAGTTAAATTTCAAGTTTATTCCAAGTCAATAATTGATATTTTGAAGTCATATTGATCCAGTGGATTTCTCAGCATTTCCTGAGATGATTCCCGACCACCATTACCAGTAATGCATATTTGGTCTGCGTGTATTTTGATCGCAAATGTCCCTCAATAAAATTTTGAATGCTCCTTATATAACAGTTGGCTCCGATCGAATGATCTCCATCAAGTTACCGGTTCCAAAGGTCCTTTCTTCCTTGGTCACAAGGATTAATGTGATTTTTTTTTATAAATTTTTATTACAATTGGCAGGTATGGGCAGATTATTATTAATCTCTCAGTATTTCCTGAGATGATTCCTGACTACCATTATTCCATTTTTATATTGCAATTAGTAAGAGCGTAAGATTTTTGTACCTTAAAGTTACGTAAAATTTATAAAATTACAAGTAATACGTATTTTACAACCTAAAATCTCAAACCTTAATGAAAAACAAAAATATTAAAATTTTTAAATTCATGTTTCTGTTATTAATTTTATTTTTTCTGAACTTTTTTATCAATAATAATTCCACGTATTTGAAGATCAATACAATTCAATTCCCCGACCGAGTTAAACCACGCGTTGGGTAATCCGAGTTATTCAAGCAAAAGTTACCGTCTCGTGTATATGATGCCTTGTTGTGTTTGCACAAATCTGTATCGCTGAGGTGTATATATTGTGTGTTTATATCGAAGTATGGAATCAGCGCTTTTGCCCCGGGGATTAGTGAGGCCGCTCGGCTGAATTGCCGGCAGAAGCGCGCGAACGCGTTCTCGCGCGCGCACTAAACTAATAACCAAAAGTGCAACGGCATGCATAATGTCCGTGGGAATTCCATCCATTATGCGTGCAGACACGCGGCAGAATTGAATTGACTAGAATAAATGGGGAGCTGCTTGCAAGTGCTCGAGCAGCCAATTCGTCTGCCTTCACACCAATGCGTGAAATTGAGAGGAGTCACGCTTAGTTTACCAAAGCGGCAACGGGATCCTTAGCTCGAAATATATTCACCAGAGAACAAGTTCAAAGTAGGCTCGTGTGTGTGTGAGTGAGTCTGTGAGGAGGAAAAAGAAGATTTTTTTTCTCTCAACAAGTCTGATAGCAGAAAAAGCGAATTAGCCGCGCTCTCTACTCCCACCGGTCCCCGTCCTGATTTGATTGTGTTTGCCTGTTGAAAACTTGCTTGATTTGCTTTCCGCCAGGATATACAAGATTTGATTTTTTTTCCGCTAAAGAAGGCCGATCGAATCAATGCAGAGCTACTTTTCAAAGCACTGCCGAATGTATTTTTAATGCGGGCGTAGATAAGGCGGAGCAGAAGAAGAAGTATTGATGAGGGAACATTATTTTTCTCCGTTAGCATCCATCGGGGGAATGCGGGTCGCAATCAGTGCGGATCTGTGCTTTTTTTCTCTCCACCTACCTTGCGAGAAGGAAAAAAGCAGCAGCAGAAGGCGAAGCCTGTTTTCGCCACCCATTGCGATGCTGATTGCGAAGATTCAGAAGGGTTCGGCTGATGATACTGGTGAAAGGCCCCTCATCTGAAACGAAAAGCATGCAAAAGTTTTAATGAATCCAAACCAGCAAAGGTGGACACGCTATTCAAACAAGCAGAGGGACCTTGCGTAACTTTCTTTTTTTTTTCAGTCAAAAGTTGGTTGCTTCGATTCAGGTGGCGTGCGAGTTTCTCTCCGCAAGTCCCGCAAGGCATTCCGGGATCCTGCTTGTGTCACCTGAGATTTCGCCATGCTTTGATGTCGACGACCCCCACCCCCTTGCGGGTTTTCAGTTACGTGCGAGCCGTGACTGAATGGAGCGGAGAGGAAGAGGCGCGCGAGCCAAGATAAGAGAAATAATCCCATCAGCTCGTGCCCGCCAATAAATCTCTATCTGTGCCGTCGCAAGCGATATATAATTCAGCCTTTTTTTTCTCTCCGGGGAGGCGAGTCGAGTGAAAAGTTCTTTCCTTTCTGGCCGGCCTAATCCTAATTCCGGTTTTAAATGCGCGCCTCCGGGGACGTCCGAATAGTTTCATTTTGGCTAAAACGAAAAAGGAGCGCGCACTAAACTTTCAATCGTTCAAGTTGGAAAATAGTTTTAGGCCGGTGGGCCCAAAAGGCCATGAACAAATTTTAAGTTATATCCTACTTTTCCTGCGCAGAGTTTTGAGAAATTAATGTTGAAGATTTATTTCCATCAGTTTCTTAATTTTGGAACGGATAATGTGAATTTATTAACTCAATCAAGATTGCTTACTAAAAATAATTAAAATAAGATATATTTTGCATGGAAAAAATATTAAATAGATTCACAATATTTTTTTTTTACAAAGTATAACGGTTTTGTATTAATCAAAGTTAATTTTGTTTGCGTGTATATAGATGGATGAGTTTGTTTTTCTTTAGAAGTTATTTATCGTTTTCACAGAATTGTTTTAAAATACGAGTGACTTAATTTCAAAAATTTTTAAAAAACTAAGTAAAAAAAATTAATACAATTTTAAACTACATAAACAGTTTTAAATTTCAATCTTTAAATCAATATAAATACAATTATATAAATTAAATTTTAAATGTAATTTTTCATTTTTTTATTCTAATTGAGCATGTAGTTCAAATATTGACAACGTTTAAATAAAATCTTGATTGTTTTTTTTTTAACAACATTTTTATTACATAATCAATCCTGCGCTGTAATTTTTTGAAACATTTCAAAGTTAAAATCTCATCCATCAAATGCTAGTCCATTGAATTTCAAATATAATGCAAATTAAAAGCCCGAAAAATTTTATTTAAAAAAAGTTAATTTCATAAAGTCGGCACAAATAATTAAATCCTCAAAAAAAGTGTTAGCAAGAAAATAAATAAAACTGTAATATTCAAGCTGCGCCTTTTAAGCAAACTTGGCTGCTGCTGCTGCTGCTGCTTTAACACAAATTCATTTCATTGCCAGAATATTAAGTGACAATTAAAAAATAATGAAAAGGGCTGTGGAACTAATGAGACGGCGCCGTTCGCCGGCCAAAAAGTAATGATTGCACGAGAAATTTAATTTTGATAATTCACCAGATTGCAAGGGAAGGGAAAGGGAAACGCGCGCCTCCACGCTCAGCGACCCCAACAATAATTTCGCGAGACGGCCTCTCCACGCAATAAGTCTTGGCCATTTCAACGCAAACATCACCCCAGGCAGGAAGGTTGTATGTATAAAAATAATTAAAATCCGGATCCTCTGTCTCTCTGCAGTCGGAAAAGCAGGGAGACGCAAAAGTGCTGCTTCGAGGGCGCGCGCATTGTTTGCTTCTTTTTGCGGAGAAAAAAGGAAAAGCAGAGGGAAAAATCTGCTCGTCGCACATAAATATTTCGGTGCATCCATACAAACCCACTGGACCGACTGCCGCTACTATATTTGGATTTCTTCCAGTGCCCGACTCCTTCCAGCAGTTTACTAATAAATGCCCTTCTCGTCGGCTGCAGCGAATAATCATAAAATTTGATGCCCAGTGTGCGATTTTATTTCGCAGCCGCTGGCCGAAAATTGAAATTAATTGCCACGCTCACTGGTGCGGTGCCGCCTAAAGCGGCCAAATGAATACAAACATTTATTACTGCACCAATTTCCCGCCCCCTTTGTTACAAGAAAAAATGATCTAAAAGTTTGAAGGACTTTTTTAATTGGCACTTGAGGAGGTTTTCTTGGCAAACAATCGGATTTATCGGAATTGATTATATTTAACAAGCGACTATACTTTATGGAAGAATATCTTTAAATCACGAAAAAATACATTAGAATAGGATCGTTTTGCCAAATTTTTTTATAAAGTAAAACTTTTCAATTTCGAAAGTGCCCGACATTTTATTACAAACTATGCAATAATTCTTGGTGCTCAATTTCAAAGGATTTTAATAGATTTGGAAAGGATTTAAATTTGGTATCTGCTGTTTAATTTGAAAAACCTGATATTTTTTTAAATTTAATTTACAATATCAATGATCACTCAATCGATAACAAATTCCACTCACATAAATTTTGATTTTTATTAGAATTGCTTTTTGTGTTTTACAAAACAAGAGTTGTGTTGTGCCTCCTACACGAGGAAAAGCAATTAGCATTTAGTGCAGACATTGAGGAAAAGCCGATTTCAATTTGTATAACAAGTGTTTTGAAACGTTTTGCAATAAAAAAATTGAAGCTTTGTAATAAAAAACATATACAGAGCAGCTCCACATTTTCCTGCTAACCTTTAAAGTGCCATTTCAAGTTCTTTTTGCAACATGGTCTAGTGAAAAAGAGAAACTTTTTATAAAATGGTTGTTATCAACATCTCCATATTGAATTGAAATTTATTGATGTGAATGAAAGTAATTAAAGTTAATATTCTTTTCAAGTAATAGTTAATATTACTAGATTTTGCACACTAATTCAAACTAGAAGAATTTTACTTTGGAATTGAACACATAATGACTTGCTAGAGAAAGATGTAGAGCGTTGCCGTGTGAGATTGATGTGAATTTTTTCCAATCCCAGTTGGGATCAATTATAAATAAATATAAAAAAACAAATGAAGAAAATCCGCTTAAAATCAGTTAAGGTGCTGAAAATAAATCATTAATAACAACTGTTTGAAGGAAGCTTCAATATTCAGTAAGTGGGAGATGAACTTCTAACTATGAAGAATGAAAGTTTCTTGCAATGACTTTGCGAGCAATAAGCATTCAAAAATAAATTTTTTTTACCTTAATACTTTTTAAGGCAGATATTTGTTAACAATTTTTTTGTGTTCTTCTTATTGTAAGTACCTAATTATATCAAAATTGTTTGGCTTTTTTTCAAAAGTGCAGAGGATAAATTTTGTCCTTAAAGTTTGCGAATTGATTTTGTCAAATGTTACATTTTACTGTGAAAATAAACGAAACTGAAAGACCGACATTTCTCACAATCGTAATTATCATAATTTATAAAAAAAATTCTCCGTATTTTTGGTGTGAAAACTATTTTAGTTCATTTCCACGGCTTCCTGCCAAAAGCAAAGTAAATAAAGAAAACGACTTTTCCGCCGAGTTGGAATTAAAGAGAAAAATGACTCTTGCGATAAAATTTCGTCCAAAGGGACACGACGCATTCCCAAAACGGAGGCCAAAGAGAAGCAGTTTTTTATTACCTCTGCTCTCCATTTTTATATTTTTAATTTTTTTATGAACACATGTTTATTTTTTCCCGGATAAAATTTAAAAGCTGCCAAAACTCTCCGGCGCGGACGTGAGGGACCAGGACACAAAGGCCGGTGCGCAATTAAAATATAATTAGTACGACGAGGTGGATATTTTTTTTAAATAATTTCCCACGAGACGACCCCGGTTCTCTCCTTGCGAATAATATAAAGCGGCGGCAGCAGCTCTTCCTTTGACATTACTTGTATAATCCGATTCGGCGAAAACACACACACGTGAGAAACAAGACCGCTGCGAGCTGCATCAAAAGTACAACCCTCGGAAAACAATTTCGTTTTTTGCTGCGACGCGCGACAGCGTCAAATTTATGTTTGAAGTTTCGCTTGTATAGAAAAGAAAAAGCGGTGAGTTGACGGAACGTGAGGGAAAATCGTGTGGCGCGGATGAAAATAACAAAGTGACGAAGAGCAACTCACTTGATCCAGTGAAAAGTGTGGCTTTCGCCGAGCACGAGGGATGAGCGCGAATCTTCTCTGCCTTTGAAAAGTTCTTAAGCCGAGACACACTCAGTTGGGCAATGGATCACCCACGACTTGCAAGTGCGCAGCCACCGATTGCCTCCGCCGCCGGAATCCGTCACTGACAATGCCCGACTGACTACCCGGCTGGAAAGACCTTTCGCTTCTGCAGCCACAGCCAGCAGCCTCCCCATCTGCAAAAGGACCACACGCGTGCGCCCTCGCCCCCTCGGCCTGTGCAGTGCACTTGGCAGTGCAATAACTCAGCCCTTTCCATTCACTTTTGGCACTAGACCGTTCCGTCAGCAAAATGAATACCGATGAATACTGAGTAGCTCGACTCAATTCATCATGATTTTTTCGCTGGCCCGACACTTTTTTCCTCATCCACCGACACCGGTAACAAACGACGCCGCGTTACTTTTCTCCTCCTTGGCTTTAATTAGTTCGTTTTTTATTATAAAAGTTCGATTCAATGGGGGGCCCGTTTTAATTAGGCGCTGACGTAAATAACGGGTCTTTCTCCTCCGCTCCACCTTTTACTTTTTTGGATAATGTACGTTTTGTGCAAAGAGCAAATTAATGCACGTGCGACTATCAATTCGAAAAGCGATAGTTTTTTTTGCGGAATTTTCCTGTTTTACAAGAGTTAGTACGAAATTTAGAAGAAACTTCAAGCAAATCATTATTTTTATTGTTAATTTTTTTATATAAAAATGCCTCTAAAGCACTGAATAAAAATGAAGATATATATGGAGAAAAAGGTGCAGAATTCATGTGATTTTGTGCAGCTGAAATAAGTAAAAAAATGAAACAATAGACAATTATTTCTTTTGATTTAAAAAGCTATGTTTTATGCTGTTATGAGGTGAACTAGTTTTTTAATAATTCACTTTTCCAAGATTGTGAGATTTTAGATAACGTTTTGCTCTTCAAAAAGGCAGTCAAATTAGAAAAAATTTAAATGTAGGTCAATTCAGTTTATTTAAGTAAAATGCTCATTCGAATGGAGGATTTTTTATCGTATGGGTGATTTTAAGTGGTTCTAGAAACTCGATTATACTTTAAAAAGCTTGCTTAGTAAAGTAAATTTTAGTATGTCAAGCATGTAACAGGTTGGAAAAAATACAAGAAAAACATATTATCCCCATCAGTCTGCGTCTTCTATTAAAATCAATCCTGTGTTCTTATTTAAAAAAATTTATAATAATTAAAAATATCAATTACAAATATTTATTTTATTTAAAAAAAAAATTACTTGCTTCAAACAGATTATTAATTTAATTTTTTTTGTTCCAAGTGCCGAACCTGGGAATCTTTGAACTCAAATTTCAGCCTAAAGAGAATTTCTGGATCGAATTGGCTCTTCTACTAGAAAAGTCAGTAAATCAGTTAAATATTTTGCTGCTGTAACACATTAACCGAACAATTCCTTACTATTCTCTTTTGTCTTGAGTTTAATTAGCTTTCGATTTTACTAAAAAAAGTTCAATTCAATTGGTTCCGTTTTAATTAGGCGTTGGTATAAATAACGGTCTTTCTCCGCCTCCTATACTTTTCGCATTTCGTGAAAAGAGCAAAAATTGTGTGTGTGTGTGTGTTGTATACACGTACGCGGCTGTCAGATCAAAAGGCGAAAAGCGGGATTTCACCAGCGGCTCGAAACTTTTTCGGCGCGGTGCGCAATTTACATTGTAGATTTTGCATTTACTCTCTTCAAAGGGACATTGTGACGTCACTTTGTACGCATACTTTTGACCGTTTTTGGCCCGCCCGAGTAAAGTTTTCGCTCTTGATTTTACACTTATACTTGTACCCAGCCGACTTCTTCTTTTTATTTTTCCCGAAAGAAAGTTCCCCCACATCAAAGAATCCGAGTCCATTATTCATCTTTGGGCCACTGCTTTTTTTCTTCATCTTCTCTTTTTTGTTCGGGGGAGAGAAAACCAAAGAGATCTTGTTTTTCTAATGATAAACAACCCTTGGAGAAGTCACAAGTTTGAGAAAGAGGAGGAGTGAAATTCGTTTATCTCTGTGTGTGTGTGTTTTGGTGGAATCTATATCTCTGAATATTGGTTTAGGGGACTCTTGTGTCGCTCATAACTTATGCGTTGCGAGAGGAATGCGACATTATAAGTTGGCAAGTTGTTGACGTTTCTGAATTTATTTATGGACTTTCCTTTATATAGAATCGTCTATCAAGGGTATGCGGAAAGTCGGCAGATTGAAATAATCTAAACTGATAGATATCAATGATGGAAAATATTTAAATCTTGTGTCTTCTACATTCAATAAAAAATTTATAATAATTAAAAAAAGACAGCATGAAGTGATGATTGTAAAAATGTAAGCATTTTACTGTTTAGTCTGATCCTGATCTATAATACGTACATAACTTTCTATATAGAAAATGATATTCACAATCAGTTATCATTAATGGAAAAAATTAAAACAATTTACATAAATTTCTTCTCTACTGATTTTAAGAAGTAAAACTACTAAATCAACATTGAATCTACCTAACTCAATTTCAATCGAGATGTGAATGAAAACTCAATAAAAAAAAATACTAAATGCACTCACATTTTTCACTTTCAACCTAGGCTCATGACTGTGGGATATTTTTAATCTCCGAAGGTTTTAGCAAAATTCTTGCCGTAGTGGTGGTGCCGTTATTTCCAACATTTGACTTATTTTTAATAAATTGCTTTCAACAATTGATGGTAAACAATTTGGTTGTAGCAATGTGGACAATTAGACAACTATAATAATATAACAATTCATTCTATTGCTCTGGAATTCATTGTTTAAATTAAGGACTTTACAACAATGGTTGTTAAATTTTCCAATTATTGATAAAATGTTTCCTATTGTCGAAAAGCCTTGATTTGACTGTGTCATTAAGAAGGCCTTAAACTGAAAATGTTAATAAACCACTCAGGTTTCTTCCATAATTTATTATTCATGTTTCAATTTTGTAGAAAGAAAGCATCGCTATATTTATCTGTAGCGAATTTGCCAGGAAAATATAATTGAAAATATATATGTTCTAATAATTTTTCATTTAAAATAATAAGTTTAAAGAAAGAAATTGTGTAAATAGTACATAATTTTAATGCAAATAATAAAACATGAAGTTTATGTATTTTTTTCAAAATGAACATTAATTAATAACCATGTATCAAATAAATTGGCAGATTTGGTCAATAATCTGATATCTAATTCATATTGATGTGAAATCTCGAAGAAATTTTATAAAACTAATCACACGTACATTAAAGAAAACTAACTCCATCAAGCTTTATCAACATAGAACTTGATTGGTAAAGATGAAAATACTTTTAAAACATAATAAAAAAGGTGATCTAGCAAAGCAATTTATAAAATATACAGTTGAACTTAAAACACTATTTTACTTTTTCGATTGCAGTGCGAGACGTAACTGCCATTTAATGAAATTCCCTCATCCCCATTTCATTTGTTGTCTTTGTTGTAGTGGTGTGTGGGCGCCGTCGGCCACTAAAAACTAAACGCACACGAACTGTTTTCTTTAGTGGTCAGTTAAGGGGCCCTTAATGCCATTTATCGGTTGATTGACAAATTACGGCCGTTGTTTATCCCCGGCGGGGTTTCTTTTCGCAGTTTAGGACTCATTCGGTGGCAAGGGCAGTAAAGAAAGAAAGAACGCGCGGCGGCCGGAAAGCAGCACCACCTTTTATCTTTATTGATACGCACGCGGAATTGCAGCGGATTTATTTGTCATTGCGCGCGCTAACTGCGATAAAAGTTTATGTTATCTTTCATTGTTGGGCGGGAGAGGTTTATTTGCATCGCATCAAAAATTTTATCCCAAGTGTGCGATCTTGTGGCGCCACACTAAAATCTCGTGGCGGCGGGCGCGCGCATAATAAAAAATATGCCTCGACGCCCCGTTGGATATTCAAGACGAAAACAAGATTATTTTGCCAATAATTCTATGTCGGAAAATGGCATAAATATGCAAATATAGCGCGCGCAGCCTCGGATACACGCACAAAATACACAGGCAGCTGGCAGTAGAAGCGAGTATATTATTGAGATATTGACTCTCTATATTTACTCGATTTTTTACGAGATGATGTTTCGGCGAAAGTGGTTAGAGCGCATAAAAAATTGTGCAGAGTACCTTCGAGTGCCGAATATTTTGTTTTTCCATCGACACCGGTCAATTTCGCGCTCATAAATAATGTCCAGTTTGGACATGGTAATCAGTTAAATTTCATTAAAATTTCATATCAGCTCGTGAATAAATATCGATTGTGGCTGTTCTGGTTTGAAAAGCGAGTGCCGGAGCACCAGCTTTTGGGCAATGTTCCATGAAAGGCGGACTGACAAACCACAAAAATTATGTTATGGCAAAGGGGAGGTTATTTCCCACACTGCTGCACATATTTGTGTATAAAGTATGCCGTTTTAATTTGGTTTTATCATGTTTGACCAATTAAAAAATTCAATTGGCATTACTAAAGTGGCAAGAAAACATTAATTCACGCCAAAATTCATTTTGACTAGTGATCTTTGCGATTGTGACACTTTGATGGAAATAACTGTGAAGGTAATATTGATATTTTGAGGCACTCCAATTATTAAAAAAACTTTTACTAAGGCTAATATTAGCTCAAATATTTTAATAGCGGACAATTATTTAATTTTAAAATTATGTTGATTATTAGAGGGTATTCAATTTGAAATCAAAATCACATAAGGCAAGTAGATCATCAATATTATGTATAATTAGTATAAAGTGCAGCTTGATCATTGGATGCTATTTATTTATTAATATGTATATAATATCAAAAAAGTATTACAAAAAATATTAATAACAAACGTAATATAATTACAATTTTCTTTCAATTTTAAAGTAAAATAAATAAACTGGTTGATATTATAATATTAAATATTAAGTCAATTTAAAAATTCTTTGAACATAAAATTTATTAAAATGGTTATTTAAAAATGAAATTATCTGTTAAAATCAGTATATTAATTTTTAAATTTCTTGAATATTTTTAAATTGAAAAAAAGCTTGACCAACAACTTATTTTATAGAAAGGTACGTAAACTTTGTTTTAGCGTCAACAATCCTTCCCCGTTCCTCTTT